AAAATTTTCGGCGGGAAAATTATTTTTACGTGGGTGTTACAGAATGTACTACTACGCTTTATGTACTTTAAAGTTTCTTGTGAAATCTACAGTCTAGTTGTAAATCAGAGTGATAACTTTTTATGGAAATTTTTCTTTCTTATAAATTCACAACAATCCTAGCGTCAATTTTCGTAAAATATATATGCAAATGGAAGCTTGTGTTTTGTATTGTATTATACTGTTTTATATTGTATTAAATAAGGAAAATTTTTAAAAATATATTGTATTATAAAATTAAAATTATATTGTATTTATATTGTATTATAAATTTTTAATAATAATAAATTTTAAATTTAATTTATTAAAAATTTACAATACAACATAAATACAATATAATTTTAATTTTATAATAGAATATATTTAACAAATTTAATAAATTATAATACAATATAAATACAATATAATTTTAATTTTATAATACAATATATTTAACAAATTTTTAATAAGTTAAAAAATTCATAATACAAGATAAATACGATATAATTTTAATTTTATAATACAATATAATTTTTAAAATTTTTCTTACTTTTATAATATTTACTAATACTCTCTCAAACATTTACCTAACTTTGACCACTTAATACAGGTAAAGTCTAAGGTCTTTTCAGTTGTATTTACAAAACTATAATGTAAGCAACATAAAGTCTACAGCCAATCAAAACTGTGTAGGTATCTGTATCAAAATTAGTAGTAATTAACCTCTTGCGCTAGTAACTGGTTCACGGACCATAACGAGTGACCAAATCGTATACAATAATTCGTCTTCTTTTTGAATTCATCGGTATATCGCTGGATATAGAAATTACTAAGAAGTAATAAATTTATTACTTGTTTTGCTTGGGTTATATTTCAATATGCTTAAAACTGAGAAATTATTGCAATTTTGGGCGAAATATTGTCGACGTGTGTGGCACGTCACCCCGCGCAAGAGGTTAAGATATATTTCTTTCGTCAGTGAGTAAAAATTCCCAACAATTCTTTTACGAAACCCTTTTCGTAATAATGCCAACAACCAAGAACCCCTTCAACAACAAAGACCACGTATCTAACGATCGTGACTACGCCCGAGGACTCGCTTCTAACCCACTTTCGACTATCGACGCATCCAACGTAAATACACACACACACACACACACACACACACAAAGAGAACAAACCATCGAGGAAGCGGAAGGAGATACCTAAAATCGACAGAAGAGGAACCAGGAGTGAACAAAGAAAAAAGAAAAGAAGAAAAAAAAAAAAAAAGAAAAAGGAAGAAAAGAGAAGGAAAAAATCGAAATGACACAGTGAAAGCACCGCTAATGCCCTTTCGCATTAACACTCGACGGAAAGTGTGCTCTCGGTGTAAAAAGCTCTGATCGATGGAGCGACCCGATTGGTGGAACGGCGACGAGGGTCGAAATCAACCCCCTGGACACTTCTACGGGGCGATCCTCTAGAAACTGGCGTCCCATTGGTCGCCGGTGTAGCTCCACCCTCTTCGAACGAGAAACTTACCCCCACAGAGTGTTTCTGCACAGCTCGATTCTCGTTTCACGAGCGTCCCCTTCGAGCGTCTGGCAATTTCAATAAATTCCGATTCGTAGCTTCTGCTACGTTGCGCTCTCGCAATCTTGAAAGTAGATCGCCGCTTCCTACCGATTAGACGGCGGGATTTTATTTAAAAGGGGGGAGGGGAAGGGGAGGGGGTTGACCGATTTACATTTTTGGCTCGAGTATATTCCTGCTTTTGAGAGACGAGCAGGAATTTCGTCTCGAGAGGTCGTGACCAGGGGTGAGAGAGATGATTCCGGGTGGAGTTTCGAAGATTTTGATAGAATTTGATTTTTGATCAATGGTCTAGCTGGAGATGCAATTATTCTGATTTTGATAATTGGTAATTTTGGATCGATAGTTGGGCATTTAATAACATTCACGAGTGCTTGCAATAATCAGTCTGGTGATACGACAGTTCAATTTTACTAAAATTTTATATATTCAGTCACTTTGAATAATTACAATAGTGATTTTAACATTTTTATTTCAAGCAAAAGAGTTTCTAAATGTTTATTGCGGTGATAATTTTATTTAGTAGAAGGATCTCTGTAATTTAAATATTTTTTTATGAATACGTTAATATTAATATTTTTGATCGTGTCATTTTGTTTAATAAACGTAACTTTCATGGAGCTTTCGAAGGTCTTAGTACAATAATTTTTTTAGGATACTATATAAGAAGAAAAGATGCTATTAAGTTACTACTTAATACTTGGAAGTTGATAATTGTCTTTTGGAAAAAAGATCTAGATCGAAGTGCTTATAAATAACATTGAATAAATGTACATGAAACGAAATATATTACGCGCGCGCGGTCAAAGGGGTTGTTCTGTTTGCATGTATGACATAGCGCGGTATTGCCAACCCCTTTTTAATCCAGCTTTTTTACCACAAGCACACGTAAAACTCGTTAAATTTATCTAACAAGATCAACATCTACATCAAAATCAGATTATCAAAAATCCTCTGAACCAAGTTTATCACTGAATAAGTATAATACAGACAATTTGAAATGTAATCCCTAAATTTGGTCGTAACGACAAAATTTTAATTTCTAAAAAATTACTCAACAACCATATATATGTATATATGTACAATCAGCAAATATTCAGAAAACTACCAAAAAATTCGCGAAATTTAAATTTTCAAAAAAATTCCTCAACACCTGCCGTTCGAATTTCACCGAATTCAAATCTTCCAGAAGAATTTCCCAAAAATTTCTCAAGTCGTAATAACAATCCACGACATAATCCAGCTACTTGACCACTTGCGCTGGCAACTGATTGCGGACCATAACGAGTGACCAAACCCGTATACAATAACTCGTCGGTATGATGTCACTGGATAGAAATTATTGTGAAGTAATAAATTATTTGTTTCGCAATTATTTTGTTTTACTTAAATATATTGATAATTTTGCATATTATGTTATAATATATAATATATATAATGTGTTACAACATAACCTATGTTGTGCCTAATATTACCTATATTCTAGTTAAATACATTGACATTTAGCGTGTTTATTGTTAAATTATATTACAGATTAAAGCTGTATTAACTTTTAAATAAAATAAAATTTTCTACAGTGTCAGAAAACGACATTATCACTTATAGGTAGCCTTAACCATTTGCGCTGGCAACTAATTGCGGACCATAACGAGTGACCGAACCGTACACAATAATTTGTCGCTTTCCTTTTTCTTTTGAACTCGTCGGTACGATATATCACTGGATAGAAATGATTGAGAAGTAATAAATTTACTATTTGTTTTGCTTATTCTGTTTTACTTAAATATATTTAAAACTGAGAAAATATTAGAATTTTGGGGACAAAAAATGTTCGACGTGCGTGGTACGTCATACCAGCGCAAGAGGTTAACCATTTGCGCTGGCAACTGATTGCGGACCGTAACGAGTGACTAAACCGTCTACAGTAATTCATTGCTTTCTTTTTCTTTTGAACTCGTCGGTACAATATCACCGGATAGAAACTATTGAGAAGTAATAAATTTACTTATTTGTTTTGCCTATTCTGTTTTACTTAAATATACTTAAAACCGAGAAAGTATTACGATTTTGGGACAAAAAATTGTCGACGTGAGTCATTCCATCTCAAGAGGTTAAATATTCAAACGGCCCAAGAACCATCGGGAAAACGTCCGCACAAAAGCAGTCCTCGAATATACAAATCTCCAAACACAAACCTATCCCTCCTCAAATCTGCTTCTTTCCCTCACGAGCCACCTCGTTCGAACCTAAAGTCCCAATGAACATAGAATACAGAATTTCTCTTTCCCCCCCTCTCTCTCTCTCTCTCTCACTCAGTTTTAGATTGATATCCATAGTGTCCAACTCGAAAGAACGGTGCACCACGGTCGCTGGAAAATCCAGCGAGCTAATTCTCTCGGCGAGTACAGAGGGGTGGACTGTCGTGTGCGGCACGGCCGAGGGGTGAGCTCGAAATCTCCGCCCCTGGCGAAGATCCGCCCTCGGGTTCGAGGGTGCTTGACGAGCGAAACTGTACGGAGGTAGGGAACACTAGCCGTCAAGTGCTCGTCGAGGACACTCGAAAAAGTACAAGGAGAGCCCTTCACGCTACCGAGAGAACAAGCAGAATCGCGTCCACTGTCTCCATCTGTTCCTTGACTCTCTGCTTCCCCTCGTTTTTAAACGAGAGAGTGGACATTCATCGAGTTGCCGGTATACTTCGGAGTGAAGTTACTTCGAGTGACAATTCCGTAATTCGAGACCGGGCTAATCTCATCCGGCCGTGTCGTTTCGTTTTAAGTAAATACAGTGAATGTTCCTCGAATTCGTTCGTGACAGTTTTTAGCTGTACAGAATAGGTGAAATATCGTTTGCGCGCGAGTGCAAAGACTGTTTCGATAATATACTCTGGCGCGAGTCTGGCGGCCAAGCTGAGATCGGTGATCGACTCGCGAGTGTGCCGCGAGCAAAAAGGAACCACGATGGACCGTTCGACACGAAGACGATAGTCGAGGTGTGCGAGTGAAACAGATTGAAACCAAGTACCCTCGATAACTGTCGACAACCACAGCGGTGATCATTTCATTCAACTACACACTAACACTTTCCTTGTAAAAAATTCATCGTTCGTCCGACTAACACTCAACACCTCGCCGACAGTGAGTTTACCAATAACACGCCACGAGTTTCTAAATAATAAAATCACTGGTGGAACTTTCGTGAGAACGTTCGATTGAATTTGACAAAACAGTGTGCGGTGATCTTTGTTGGGGGTGAGTTAAGTCGAATTAAAGGAAGAGGGGGACGAAAAAAAGTGGAACGAGTGATAGTAAGCAGAAGGTACGAAAAGAGAATCGAACAGAGAAAGAGAGGGGAGGGGTTGAAAGGAGGAAAGAGGGAGGAAGGGAGAGAATAGAAAGAGAGAGAGAGAGAGAGAGAGAGAGAAAAAAGAAAGAAAGAAAGGAAAGAGGGAAAAACGAGTTGGCGCGAGAAACGAGTGTGCGAGAAACCTAACCCACGAGGACTGTTAACATGTACTGACGCCACTGCTAACATCTCCTCGTGACCCTTTCAAAATGGCGGACAAGAATAAGATTCCGCTCTGGCCGCTGCTACCTTATCCGACCAGTCTATTGAATCATTGGTACAGCCAGCTTTGTTTCAATAATAGGTAAACCAATTAGAAGAAGACGACGAACGAAAGCAAAATAAGATACTGTAATGATATATAGCGAGTATACCACGTGTACGAAGCTTATTTTGCCGACTCACCCGCCCCCCCCCCCAAGTGTGTAGAGTTCAATAGATCAGACACTCGCGTTGATATCTTTTCGCAGAATTTTCGCATGCTCTTCTGTTCTCGATTCTCGCTGAATTGAAATTTTTTAGGGGAAGAGGAACGCTTGGGAATGCAATTTTAGTTGGTCGACGCGTTCACTGCCACGCGATGAAAACGATTAAAACGAAACGACGTGAGCAACGAATAACAGCGTGAAATATATAAGAAAATACGTAATTTCATTGCTATTTTGTTGTAAGGAAAACGTACGAACGTGGCAGTCAACGTATTACGTACAGTAGAAACTTTTAATTTTACAATTGAAACGAGGATTTGGTGTATCGAATTTACACATTTGACGTCGTTCTGTTCCAGTGAGATTTTCATTAAGACGAAAGTGACGTTTAAGAATACCATAGCATGTCTAGATTTGACATTGTTTCCATTTAATTTGCAGCTCCCCTTATTTTTCTAAGTTTCGATCACTCTGGTCTTCCTGCTGGTGTGATTTATTAAATTAATAATTTACCAAATTTATTTCTTCATCATTTCGCAGCTGTAAATTTCCATTGGGTGAGGTAAAACGAATTGCAATCCGAAGCTACTTCCCTATCAACTTTTCCAAATTATTTTTATCGCTTTTATTCCTTTAGAGTATTATTATCAATATTAGAATACTTGAAACAACTTTTCCATATTAATTTCTTGAAACAATTAACTCGAAAGCTACCTTAAATGAAGTTATCATAGAGACATCAATAGACCAATTAAGTTTAATTTACTTCGAAACGAAGAAACGACTACTTTTTCGTTCCAATTGATCCACAATCGGAATATCCGACGTATAGAGAATCGCGAATCACCAAAAAAAAAAAAAAATAGCCGAATGTTATCTGAAATTGGCGTTGGAAGAATATTTCCAAAAACATACAGGGGGTTCGAAAATGGCTGGAGATAGGCGTGAAAGTGACTGGGAGTCTCTCGACAATTTTATCGGTGTGACGTTATTGTCTCGTAATCGAGAAGGAGATCTTGATGACCCTCGAATTCTTCCACGTGGCTTCACCGCCATGTATCGGAGCTTATCGTTCGATTATCGACATCCTCGATTGAAATCAATAAAGCACGGTTTCGCCGAGTAATTTCTTTTTACGAAATAACCGACGATAAGTTAAAAATAAAAGAGAGAGAGAGAGAGAGAGAGAGAGAAGAATTAATGAAAATCGAAGATTTTCCAGAGTACTGCCTGTCTGTTTAATTAGAGATTGAAGTCGCTGGTGATTTCAACGCTGCAGCTTCGGTATTAATTGCCGAAGAGAAGCCGCGTTGGCTTCAGCTGCGAGAAAGTAACGTCGATTAGTTTCTTCTTTAATGTTTCCAAATTTCTTAGCGACCTACTGCTTTCATTTAGCAAGCCTGCTGGAATCGAAGTTTCAGCGAACTTTTCTCATTAGTTTCGCGATTTTCGTACTGGTGCGTACGTTGCGAGGTAGAAGAAAGTTTAGTTACTTCGAAGAATCGGAAATTCTGTTTGCTTGGGATTTGAGTTTCTCCCGTTCTTCGGCCAAAGTGAAAGCTTCGACTTTCTTGCTTGGAATTCGTTGTGCGAGTTTTAACGAACAGACGGTATATATTTTTGTAAATTTCGGATTGGATCAACTCACTAAATGAAAGCCTATTAAATGACCAATTAAAATTTGAGTAACTTTAGACTCTTCTCGTTTTGTTTCGATTATATTGAATTTCCAAATCTCGTCCAGAATTCATGATCGTGTACATCTGTTAAGTTGCCATTCCAATATTTATAAACATATCCTCGTCAATCGTTTTCATTCCAATAATTTAGAAAGTAATGACGTTCAGTCGACGATCACTATCGATAGTCGATGTTTTAAATTGTAATACAAATTATATGGAACTCATTAAAGACCAGATAGCCAGCATAATATCGCAAACGTCATTTTGCCAAAATTTTCACAAAATTCATCGGAATCATCAAGCGAAATTTCTTAAAATTTCTTTTCGTGGATTAAATTTTCCCCTGTTACTTTTATACTTGTATGTTTATTAAAAAATAGAATTTGGCGGCATAAAATTATCATGCAAATACCCATTAAGAACCAGATAACTAACGTATTATAATACATGTAATAATAACTATAGTATATATATATATATAATATAGTAATAATAACTAAAATATTACAGACACATCAATTTCTCGAAATTCCATGAAATCATAGAATCACTATAATTGTATTTATACTATAATATAAATAATTATAAACATAGAGGCAACTCTTTAGAATTCCCTTTTACTTTATAATAGTTACATATCTAATTATTGCCAGTTTCTAATTATTGTTACACAGCCCCGTCATGCTTCCCTGTTAAAAAGTAAAATTTGATAATGGAAAATCGATATATCGAAAATAGTTGGAAATGGAATAATTAACGAGTTGACGTTGGCAACGTTCAATTAAGAAAGATTGCAGCCACCAGGCGTCGTGTAGATTTTGAAGAGAAAACCATGCAGCGGCGAGTCCTTCAAACTCCGAGGAACGTGGCCGAACGTGCCCCGATAATAGGTGGTTTGGCTTAGAAGGCCAGAAATTCGCTTCTGTATCCGGGGACAGGTTGTTTGGCAGCGAAGCTGCAGGTAGCCAGGCTCTTTGATGGCGCAGGACACGTCTAATCGGGGCCTTGAGCGTCCCGCTGGCTTTTTGACGCTCGTCGCGCCGCAGGAAAACTTTGGGAAAATTGGATTGATTCCGTTGAAAACCGACTTCTCGACTCGCGACATCCTTTCGTCCAGACCGAGCCCACGGGTTTCTGCGCCATTCGATCCTGTTACTTGGCCTCTTCGATTGCCAAATATCGATTGCTCGATAATTTTTGGAAATTTACCAAACTCGAGACCCCGAAGCTTGGTTCGATTGTCTGGCCGCTTTGATCGATACGTCGATCTTTTTACAATTGGCTACTTTGAGGGACACGTCAATTTTCTTCTTTTTTTACAATTCTAGAAATTTAGAACTTTGTATCTCGATTTGCATCAGATATTTGGATACTTTGATCACTCCGATCGAGGTATCAATTTTTCTTTTCTGAATTTTGAATGCAGGAATTTAGAAAGCTACTTGTTATCACTTTTAGAAATTTGGAAATTAACTGGGATTTACCCTGTCGTTTCGTCATTTTTTTCATCGAGAGATCGAATTTAAACAATTTTTTGACTCTGGAAAATTGGAAATCTACAACTCTGAGCCTTGATAATCCCTCACTACTTGCTCATTTTGATATAATTTCACGAGCAGGTTTCAATCCTATTACTGGCTTCGACCGTTTCTTTTTTTTTTTTATTCATAATTTCTGAAATTTTAGAAAAACGTACGTTTTCGTTCATTTTATTTCTTTTTTTTTTTTTGAAGATAATTACTTGTCTCTGCAATGCACGTATGTAACTGAGAAATGTTCAAATAGATAGATGCTTGATTAATGTCACCCTGTCGGCTCAAATAAACTCTTTAGATCTCTTTTTTTTAATGATCTTTCTTTGCTGTTGCAGAATATTGGAGAGCATCAAGATGCCCAGGACAAGCTTTCACATTCATGACATCCTGCAGCTTGATTCCAAGCCGTCCCAGGAAGAAACGGAGGTACAAGGTAAGAACAAGCAACCTCTATCCATCGAACTTAGCTAGTTTAGTTGATTTACAAAACTAGAGTTTTAAATCGTAAGATTTCAAAATTCAAGTACGTATCAAGTCGATATTAAAGACATGGTTTTTGGTCATTCTCGTCAAACTTAGCTAGTTCAGTTGATCTACAAAACTAGAGTTTTAAATTGTAAGCTTTCAAAATTCAAGTACGTATCAAGTCGATATTAAAGACATGGTTTCTGGTAATTTTCGTCGAATTTAGCTAGTTCAGTTGATCTATGAAGTTAGAGTTTTAAGTCGTAAGATTTCAAAGTTGAAATACGTATCAAGTCGATATTAAAGACATAGTTTTTGGTAATTTTCGTCGATCTTAGCTAATTCAGTTGATCCTACGAAGCTAGAATTTTGAAGTCGTAAGGTTTCAAAGTTGAAGAATGTATCAAGTCGATATTAAAGGCATGGTTTTTGGTCATTCTCGTCAAACTTAGCTAGTTCAATTGATCTACAAAACTAGAGTTTTAAATCGTAAGATTTCAAAATTCAAGTACGTATCAAGTCGATATTAAAGACATAGTTTTTGGTAATTTTCGTCGATCTTAGCTAATTCAGTTGATCCTACGAAGCTAGAATTTTGAAGTCGTAAGGTTTCAAAGTTGAAGAATGTATCAAGTCGATATTAAAGGCATGGTTTTTGGTCATTCTCGTCAAACTTAGCTAGTTCAATTGATCTACAAAACTAGAGTTTTAAATCGTAAGATTTCAAAATTCAAGTACGTATCAAGTCGATATTAAAGACATAGTTTTTGGTAATTTTCGTCGATCTTAGCTAATTCAGTTGATCCTACGAAGCTAGGGTTTTGAAGTCGTAAGATTTCAAAGTTGAAGTACGTATCAAGTTGATATTAAAGACATGGTTTCTGGTAATTTTCGTCGAATTTAGCTAGTTCAGTTGATCTATGAAGCTAGAGTTTTGAAGTCGTAAGATTTCAAAGTTGAAGTACGTATCAAGTCGATATTAAAGACATGGTTTCTGATAATTCTCGTCGAACTTAGCTAGCTCAGTTGATCTACGAAACTAGAGTTTTGAAGTCGTAAGATTTCAAAGTTAAAGTACGTATCAAGTCGATATTAAAGACATAATTTCTGGTCGAATAATAATTCTCGCCGAACTTATCTAGTTCAATTGATCTACGAAACTAGAGTTTTAAGTTGTAAGATTTCAAAGTTCAAATCGATATTAAACACATATAGTTTTTGGTAATTATCGTCAAACTTAGCTAGTTCAGTTGATCTACGAAGCTAGAGTTTTAAGTCACAAAAGCTGGAGTTTCAAGTCGATATTAAAGACATGGTTTTTGGTAATTCTCGTTGCAGGTAGTACCACGGTGCTACCGACCACGAACGATGTTCCGTCGGCGTATCAACAGTTCTTCGAGCACACGACCGCCATGTTGCAACCCGCGATATACGCGAACTTGAACAGAGGCACTCTGCCACCGCCACCACCTGGATTACTCGGCTGGCCGACTGGTCCAACGTTACCAACTACCCTACCTCAGCCTTTGGAGGAAGTTAATGGTGAGTGATGAAATACACCATGCTTGTTGTAACGGGTGATCTGAGTTTGTTCGTAGGGTGTGTACTTGATACGAGTGCTCTCGATTTAAATTAAATTCTAAATGTCTGATAGCTAAAATCGAGAGTCTTTCGATACACTGTATACATTTGGACAAAAATAATAATAATGCATTGTGACTGCAGTTTTTTTTCATAATATTTGTATTTTCCACAAAACAATAATCTTGTAAAAAATTGAAAAAAATTGAAAAAGAGGTTGATGATATTTTTCCAGTTTCATATTTTTGCGAATGACAAGCTTTAAGGGGATGAAATTAACAACGAACGGTGATTTGTACGATTCTTGAAGAATTTGTACGATTAGAAAACTTGTCCCTGTTAATATTTCGTTGTATTTGCATATGTTTTTATACTATACGTATGTTACTTAAAATCACGTGAGTTTAAGAAAAATATTCCAGCAATAATAATCTCTACAAAACACGCATTTGAAGTAGTGTATTATTCATTCAAGTGAACAAAATGCCTGCAATACTTGCAAACGACAATGTAACTATAACAGAATAATATAAATAAAAATAAACAGAAATATATTTCAAATAAATAAAATTCTTTACACCTACGAGTAACGAACGAATGATCAGATATTATCATGATATTTTCATGTTTATTTATTGCAGTACTTGCAAACGACAGTGCAACTATAAACAGATAAACATAAATAAACAGAAATATATTTCAAATAAATAAAATTCTTTATACCTACGAGTAACGAACGAATGATCAGATATTAACATTAATATTTTCATGTTTATTTACATTTACACAATTTAATTTATACAATTTAAAAGTTTATTTAATACAATTTTATTTTCTATACGATTCACATTATCGGGCATTTTACACGTTTCATTGACATACTCTCCTGTATTCTTCCTGTAAATCGACCAAAGAATGCTTCCAAGAAGTAATGTATAACGCGGGGAGAGAAAAGGGGGGGCTGCGACGAAACCCTTATTTATTTAACACCCTACAATTGGCCCGCGTCGGCTAAGCAGGATCTAATGGTCCTATAAAAGGTCCTTGTGGGCCCTGTGCACCGATTGGCCAATACAGAAGGACAGATGTCCCTTCGAGGACAGATGCGTGTAACTCCGCTAGGCCCTCGATGAATCGAAAATTGTCACGCCCCGAAAATCCATCGGTAGCCTATCGGATCTCCTTTCACCTCATCTTCTTATCTTCTTCCCTTCATTTTTATTCTTTTCGCACCTTCGCCTCTGCTTTCTCATCATTTTCTTCTTCTTCTTTTCTTTCCTTCTTCCATTAAACATTCACTGTGCAAGAAATCGTAGACTTCACCCTTTAAATTAAATTGCAAGGAGGGACTGCTTTCGATACATGATTGTTTCGTTCGAGGTAGCGAATTCGTTGGAAATTCTCAGCGTTCTTACGAAGTCGAACGATTTCATTGCGATTTCATTGTAGTGAATTATTATATTTTCGAGGAAATTGTTTCACGTACCAAATGCACTTATATCATGTGCATTTGCGCTTCAAAATTTTTTACAAACGTGTAGAAATCGACAGCCCAACGATGATTCATTTACGAAGAGTTAGTAGGTAGTTTATTGAACAATTTCTAAGTCGTTTGTCTGAAGTAGAATTTGATATTATTATCTTGAAACTAAAACTATATTACCTTTTTATCTCGACGAAGCAATTTTTATTAAGTTTTGCAGAAAAAATTTCGTTTCAAACCTTTGTTCTATGAATTACGAATCAACATTTAACCGCTTGCGCCGGCAACTGACTGCGGACCATAACGAGCGACCGAATCGTACACAATAATTCGTCGATTTCTTTTCCCTTTGAACTCGTCGGTACGATATCATTGGATAGAAATTATTGAGAAGTACTAAGTCTATTATTTGTTTTGCCTGGATTATACTTAAATATACTTAAAACTGAGAGAACGTTGCACTTTTGGGACAAAATATTCTCGACGTGCGTGGCACGTCATTTCAGCGCAAGATGTTAATATTATATTATAACAAATACAGTGGTGTGCAAATATTAATAGCACTGTGCCTATTATATTCTATCTAATAAATACAAATATTAAAGAATACCAAGCATACTAAACAGACCTTAAGATGTGCGAACGAAAATTGAATGCTCTACAAAATTAAACAACTTATAATGATAATCGTAATAATAGCGTGTCAATATCGTTCTAGTTGTTACAATTAATTGAATTCAAGTTAAGTCGTTTTTCTCGAAGATACTAACGTCTCCATGTAGCAAGGAACGTCTAATTGAAATCACGACGCGACTGCGACTACAACCTAATCTCCCATGAAAATGATACAGTCGATCCCATGGGGTGCAATAGGGTATCAAACGGTCTCTATATTGCTTCACACCCTCCCCAACCAGGCTTACGGCTCGTTCACAAAAGCGTATTGTATGCTCACGAAGCCGGGGACCTCAACGTTGTACATTAAATTAGCGTGTCTCTAGGCCACCGTGGTATTTGCCACTTTAGCCGACGGCTAATCAAAATATTGTTAGATTAAAGTCGGCGAACAGACTCCAGCACGCACGTGAACGCAAGAAATCGTGAATCGTATACTTCTGTACCGTGAAATCTAATTTTTCTATCTCGTAAATTTCAAGCGAAATTTCGTCGCGAATTTTCGTTCTCAGCGTTTGGAATTTAATAATTGACAGAAGTTGGATAATTAGTGAAACGATCTTTCTGCTTAAACGTTTAAACGTTTCGTTATTTTGTTGCATCTATTAGAAGTATTTTTTCTTTCTCGACTTTAATAATTTTATTTTCTCTTGATGCTTTCTGACGCTCACGATAGTTAACAGCTCTGAATAATTTAGAATAATTAATGATTATTAGAGCATTCGAAAATATAATAGCTATGATCTTATTTATTGAGAGCATCGTTAATACTTGTAGCCTTTCTTTTACAAAAGAAAAATTCTCTCAGTTGATTTAGATGGGTATGTGCATCATGTGAACGATGAGCAAGCACTCGTTAATGATACTCGAGAAATCAATACGTTGCATCTGCCTGCAATCAGCGTTAGAAGGGTAGTAAAAAAATGCAGCTGCAATATTCTTTAGTCACTTTCTGTGACGACTCTTTCCAAATGACGTTTACTGATTTTCAAAGAATCAGAACGAAATTGACTTCCGACTGTGCAAAGAAATAATATTTAGCTGCATGGTTTCTCTCTCTTTGTTAATTATTAAACTCTACTAATTATCAATTGTTACTGTAATTCTATTAATATTAAACTTTCATTAATTATGAAATTTCGAATTTACTATACTACGATATTTAGATTACAATTTATTTTCAAATTTGCTGAACTTTCGTAACGTAAACCTCGTTGAAAAGTTAGCAATTCAAAATCCATCTATTATTCAATTCTAATAAAATAAAAATATTTCATTAGCATTGTATTAATTAGTTAGTATCTGCCCAATTGATTATAAAATTTTTAACACAATGAACGCTAAGAACATTAGATTGCAATTTACTTTCAAGTCTTTTAAGGGAGACTTTTGCAAATTTCGTTAAAAAAAAGTTAGCAATTCAAAATCCTTACTCAATTCTACAGAATATTTCATTAGCATTAATTTTATTTAGCTAATTGATTGTCAAATTCTAAACACAAACAGATACCACAAAATTGAAATTGCAATTTATTTTCAAATTTGTTCAAAAAGTTTGCAATTCAAAATCCTATCTATTACTCAATTCTACAGAATATTTCATTAATATTAATTTTATCAACCTAATTAATTGTCAAATTCTAAACACAAACAGATACCACAAAACTTAGACTACAATTTATTTTCAAAAACTTAGACTACAAATTATTTCGTCAAAAAGTTTGCAATTCAAAATCCTATCTATTACTCAATTCTACAGAATATTTCATTAGCATTAATTTTATCTAATTGATTGTCAAATTCTAAACACAAAGAGATACCACAAAATTGAGATTGCAATTCATTTTCAAATTTGTTCAAAAAGTTTGCAATTCAAAATCCTACTTATTACTCAATTTTACAGAATATTTCATTAATATTAATTTTATCTACCTAATTGATTGTCAAATTCTAAACACAAACAGATACCACAAAATTTAAACTACAATTTATTTTCAAAAACTTAGACTACAAATTATTTCGTCAAAAAGTTTGCAATTCAAAATCCTATCTATTACTCAATTCTACAGAATATTTCATTAGCATTAATTTTATCAACCTTATTGATTGTCAAATTCTAAACACAAACAGATACCACAAAATTAACATTAACAACTTACTTTCAAATTTGTTCAACATCGTAGATATAATGAACAAACTTTCTAAAGAGAAAATTATCTAACGCTCCACGAAAATATATCACGAAACGCACCTACTCCACTCCGAAAATAACACCGTGATCCTCAAAATTCCAGTGCTACAGCAGCCAGACTCGACGAGTCCAACGATCTCGGACCTGTCGTTCCCACCGAAGCAAGAGGCAAGCCACGAGTGCAAGGAGGAGGAATCGGCGGAGTTCGAGGACGAGCAACAAGCAAACGAGGCACAGCCGCACGAGACGGAGCACAAGAAACGAAAGAGGCGAGTCCTGTTCTCCAAAGCTCAAACGTTCGAGCTCGAGAGACGTTTCCGGCAACAGAGATACCTAAGCGCGCCGGAGAGGGAGCACCTGGCCTCGATTATTCGACTGACGCCCACGCAGGTGAAGATCTGGTTCCAGAATCACAGGTACAAGACGAAAAGAGCGGCCACCGAGAGGGTGGAAGCTAGCGGCAGTGGATGCTCGCCGAGGAGAGTGGCGGTGCCGCTGTTAATCAAAGATGGGAAACCTTGCCAGTCGAAACTGATGGAACCAGCCACGTATCCGAGCTCCGGCCAGGTTCCTATGCCCCCTTACATGCAGAAACCGTACTGGTGGTAAAATCAGGAATGATGGACTATGGTTGAGTCATCGTCATCGTGGACTATGTCGGTACTTGTTGGTGCTGGGATTGTCTGAGTTTGTGGGGATGCTGATGGTTGTAGGAATAGGTTTGTGAACGAAACAGAAGATTGTCGAGTGATCAAAATTTGGTGAAGCATGATAGTGAAGAATGGCTGGATACTCTTTTCAGGAAGAAAGAAGAGAGCACGTCTTCTTTTTTACGAACGAAACTTCTGTCGACTTTGGCGAACAGATTCTGTGAAACAAGGTGGAATGATGATTATTGGATCACAAATGACGAAAATTCTTCAGTGGTCTTTTTGTGAATGAAACTGTTGATTATGGCGGACAGATTCTGTGAAACAAGATGAAATGATGGTTATTGGATCACAAATGACGAAAATTCTTCAGTGGTCTTTTTGTGAATGAAACTGTTGATTGTGGCGGACAGATTCTGTGAAACAAGGTAGAATGATGATTATTGGATCACAAATGACGAAAATTCTTCAGTGGTCTTTTTGTGAATGAAACTGTTGATTATGGCGGACAGATTCTGTGAAACAAGATGGAATGATGATTATTGGATCACAAATGATGAAAATTCTTCAGTGGTGTTTGGTGAATGAAACTGTTGATTATGGCGGACAGATTCTGTGAAACAAGATGGAATGATGGTTATTGGATCACAAATGACAAAGAAGATTCTTTCGTGGAGGATGTCTTTTTGTGAATGAAACTGTTGATTATGGCGAATAGGTTTTAATACGAAGATAAGTTATTGGATTACGAAGAATGGGGACTTGTTTGGGACGAAAGAAAATTGATTAGTGGAGGGAAGTCTTCCTCGGTGAATGAAATTGTTGATTTTGTGAAACAAGATCGAGAAAACTGTTTGCGAACATATTTAACCATGGATAATAGGGATTGGATCGATGATCGCAAAGACCAGATTTTGTGAAGGAATATCATAGAATTCGATGTGTGAATCTGTTTTGGATACGAAGGAAAATCATCTTTTGCGGTCAGTGTGATGATGTTATAGAACTTGGGAAAGAGAAATCATTTAATATAAAATAAATATACACCGTAACATCATGTTTAATACGAAAACGAACGTTTCCTCCACGATATCATTATTAAACGAAATAGACATTTAACACTGTGAACGAAGAAAGAGTAAAACCATAATCAGCAATGGATTGAATATTTCGTAAATCAAAAAATTCCATTCTCACGGAAACATGATAATCCGATTGACAATACGATTGAATGATCTGAATAATATGATTCTAAAAACAACAAGTGATTCAAACGCCAAAGATAAATATCGATCACAGTGAACTTAATAAAACGGCATTGTCTTCGCGATTATTCTCGAAATATCGAGAATGAAAATCAATCACGTGGAAGCCAATGATACATCATTGTTCTCAGAATAATTTTTAAGATGACGAAGACTACAGGAAAATTGAGAAAAATCGATCGCAGATGAATCGGTGCATTCTTCGGGATAACTTGTCAAATATTAAAGGTAAAAAGTTAACGAAAATGTTGTACGAAGTTGAGTATATCAGCATAAAAAAAAAAAAGTCATGCGCAGAACTTCTTGTGAGAAAATTATCCTTGCTACTCGTGTTATTATCGTAGATATGATTAACAATACCCAAGGACGAGCGTTGACACAGTCCACGATGCTCGTGTTCTCGTTAATTTTAGAGTAAAGGAAGTAACTGCCAGTCAAAGTTTTTTGCCATCGTCGATCGTCGATCGAAACACATCTTAATTCGATATAAAGATAATTGGATTGTTGCGCGAGACGAAGACACGACGCGAAGTAAATGAAAATAAATTCGACGAATGAAAAATTCATCGCTCGAGTGAGCACTGACGAAATTGACGCGCGGTGTTCCGTCGATTTTCATCGGGTTATTTCGCGGATAAAAACCAAAGATAATTCGCGAGTCTAATCGCGAAGGACAGATGAAGGATAGAGAAGTTTAGAGAAAGTGATCTAGCACGAGTGAACTATACAAGTGGACGGGATGCCTATATAACGTGCACTTGTGGTCAAAAGTGTGGAATCACTGGAGCTGTTTGTCAATTCTGTCAATTTCCAACATTCGTTCTAGTCAAATTGAAACTGGAAATTTAACGCTAGAATTGCCAGAGTCGAGACAAATCATTCGCAATTTCGTTTTTCTTTTATAGATTTATAGATTGAATAATTTCGTAGGTTTATTGAATTATTGAAAATTTAATGGTTTTTCTAGATTTGTTGTGCAACGATGAATTTAGCGAGACTTTGTTTTATTCTGCCTTGTTTCTTTGTTTTATTGTAAATTTCTTTCCTGTTCCTTGCACCTTTATTGTTGTATATTTTAATTTGTTGGTAGTTCTAGTGTTAAGTTAATCAAACTAGAGGAACTGAAAACGGTTTCGATTGGGTCACTTGGATTTTGGAATAGTTACTTACAAAAAGTATTTGCGCACAGTCTTATTTTTCAACAAAATATTTTCTTTTTTTTTATTTCCATATGATTTAATATACTTAGACTTTATTGAACAATATGTAAATACTGTAATGAATACAGTGATCCAAACCATTATATCAAATAAATATACGATTAATACACTTTGTTGCAGCAGAATTGAAAACATGTCAACAAAGTTGAACTATTCTATTGAACTAATTATAATAATTTAAACGACACAGCTGTGTGACTGGGCCAATTGGAGACAAATCTCCTCAAATACTCGCATAAACGCCCAAATTAACCGAAACGCTCATCAGCATATAAATATAACAATAAAAATGTGATTTCAAACTTTTGGCCAATATCGTAGGATCGATCGTTAGATTCCATGGTTTATTCGTTTTTCAGTTTTTTCTTTGTTTTGTATAAAGCTGTCGTTAGTCCACGTAGTGTATATGTGTGAATGTGTGTGTGTGCATGTGTGTGTGTTAAAAGAAAAAGCATCTCTCACGTTCGTATTTAAAAATCCCAACAAAAATTCAAAACTTCCTCCTTCGACGAATAATAGTCTAAATATCGTCATTTTTCATTAATATACTTGTAACGAGAAATAAAAATGGCGAACAGCGAAATCGCAATGTGATTCCTGGTCGCTTATGTAACGCATCACTTCCTATCAATCTAATCGCAATAACCAGATAAAGCAAGAACAATTCTTCGAGAATAATCCTTCAATACTCGAATCAGAGAGTAAAATATTAAATCAGTTGGTGGATTGCGAATGTTTATGCAGTTCTGGGAGATTTAAAGTGTCAAAAGTATAAAATAAATCTACAATAATCGAATAATAAATATTTATTGTGGATATGTAAATTTTGATTTTCGAGATTGTAAAGAATCGAAATTCTTGGATTCTAAATGGTGGAATAAATATCTAAAAATGTCCGAATTTAAATACTTTATATTATAACAGATTTTCCAAATTTTATTGCAGATTTATTGTTTATAGCGACTGTTTACTAGATTCATCTACGATGAAATCTAAAAATTCTAAATTTACAAATCTACAATATAAAATATATGAAATATCCAAATGTCCAAACACTTGTTATTATAAATAATAAAAAAGTAACATTAGCAAAGCACTTCAAAGATAATAAATTTCTATTTGCAACCATGAAAATATAAAGTTGCATAAATATTCGCAATTTATATTTTGACGAAGTGTAATTAATCGAAAAGATATATCGCATGTGAGAATTTTTCAATCATTGAAACATTTATACAACTAATAACTTCTTTTTTCTTTTCACGCTAAACTCGTAACAGAGAATAAAATACATATTGTTGATCGTTGAGGAAAGTATTAAATAGCAAGTGATTAATTGTATGATTTAAATGTTCGTTTGTAAAATAGACGGAGGCCAGTTTTCTGTGAATGTTTTGTTAAGATTGTAAAATTTTTCTTTTTTTTTTTTTTTTTTAGACGATTGTTTTGTAAAATGAAGGGAAGCAGGTATTATATAGTGTAATTGTATAGAGATGACGTGACAGTCGATACAGAGATCCCAGTTTATCGCCTTTAATTAGGTAGCATGTAATTACGGTCGAATAGGTTGTATATATGTACATTGTATATAATACATAGTAGTCTAATATATGAGATATTTAATAAACTCGAATCGTAAGCGAATCAACTGTCTTTTAATCGTTTCCTTTCCTATAGTTAAATAAAATTAAATACTTGGAGAGAAAATATATGATTATATAATTATATAATGAAATATTGAACATCGTAATTATAAATTATACTCTGTCAAATAATAGAATTATGAAATATCTTGTAAAATAATAAATGTGACAACATATAAAATATTTTTACTAAAACATGAATAAAATCTGAGAATACATTATAACACTATTGATTATTTCACAGGATAGTTGAAACAACTTGAAAAATATTCCTAAGAAAAGACATCATTAAAAATATTATAAAACGTAGATACAGTTTTAAAAAATTATCATCAACTCTTTACATTATTCTAATTTCACGATATTTCATGATACCTATCATATATCGTAAAATATATATTTTGTTATATCAAAAAATATTGAATATAAGACTAAACTTCGTATTTGAACATAAAACTCAAATTAAGCAGATGTAATAATTAAATTATCAGCGAAATCACTTGCTCTCTTTCATAGGACGACGATGTTGATAATTATTCAAATAATCGTTGAAAATGCAAGCTGATCGACATTTCTACTATACAGTGCTGAAAAATTCGTCCAAACGAATTGAAAACGATAATATATTCCGAATCAAGTTATCAGTGAACGCTATCAGCAGAACGAATAGTAAATTGAAAAATAATTCGCCTTATCGTGGAAAATTGCTTCGATTTCTACAATGTGTGTTTCCAGGCAACGATCGTGATGTTCTCTAATCGATAATTGACACGTCTCGGTGTTCTTAATGGTAATAGAGCGAGAGATACAGCTAGCTAATTAAATTTCAGATTAAAGTATTAACATTTACAAACAGAAGCAAGTGTTAATAATAGCTTTGGTTAATTATTAGTGTTTTGTTAAGATTAAAAATACCAGCTCTTACAAACGAAAGAACAATCGTGAGTCAAAGCATGCAGATATGCGAGAGTATTAAAAATTTAGGTCAAGTACAATAGTCGGAAGAAATTTGGAAATTTATTTTTGGATATAACTTAATTTAGAATATAACCGGAAATTAAGATGTTTGTAACTTGTAGCGATGAAAGTTTAAATTCTTGAAAATAATCGTAAGTCAGACGCTCAGTAAAATATTTGGAAACTGTAAAAATCCATATTTATTCTAATTATATTATAAATATATTTCATTTATATTATATTATAAATATATTTCATGTATTCCTTTTATTCTAAATACTACGAATGAAATTTCAAAAGCCAGAATCTACCGATTTTTAATAAAAACCTGGAGCCGTGTTTCAACATTCTTACAAAAATTAACTTTCGTACAATGATGATAAGAACAGCATTTACGAGAGAAATATGATAAAACAATACACTCGAGACAGATCTCCCCCCTGTTTCGTCCCCTGTTCCTTTTTATTTCTCTCCTCGACTGTTCTATAACGTTTCCCTTTTTTCGGGACACGCCGGAAGCCGGTGTAGCTTGAGTGACAAGCTTCCGGTTTCCGTTTCCGAGCAGCCATCT